GCTGAAAGTCAAAGACTCAAGCAAAGACTCAGTACCATTCACAATAGCTACAAAGAAAGTAAAATACCTAGCAATATACTTAGCCAAGTATGTAAAATATCTATACAGGAGTACTACAAAACACTGAGGAAAGAAATCCCAGAGGACACAAACAAATGGAAAAACATATCATTCTCATTGATTGGCAGAATCAACATTGTTAAGATATTTATACTACTGAAAGTGATGCACAGATTCAATGCAATCCCCATCAAAACACCAACATCATACTTCACAGACCTACAAAAACATAATTGTATGTTTGGTTTGGAACCAGAAATGAGCCCGAATGGTCAAAGCAATCTTTAGCAAAAAGAACAAATCTGGAGGCATCACATTAGCAGACCTCAAAGTATACTACAAGGCTAACCAAAAAAGCAGGGTATTGGTACAAAAATAGAGGCATAGACCAATGGAACAGCACAGAGAACCCAGATATAAAACCATCCACACACAGCCAACTGACTTTTGACAAAGCAGACAACAAGGTGCACTGGGCAAAGAAACCTTATTCAATAAATGGTGCTGAGAAAATTGGATAGCCACATGCAGAAGAATGAAACAGGACCCCTATCTCTCACCACTCACAAAAATTAATTCAAGATAGATAAAAGACTTAAATGTAAGGCATAATGAAACCATAACTACTTTAGGGGAAAATGTAGGAAATGAAACCATAACTACTTTAGGGGAAAATGTAGGAAAAATTTTTCTAGATATTGGCCCAGGCAAAGAATTTCTGACTAAGAACTCAATGGTAATCACAGCAACAACAAAAATAAATAAATGGAATTTGATTAAACTAACGAGCTTCTGCATATTAAAGAACAATCAACAGAGCAAATGGCCTACAGAATGGGACAAAATATTCAGAGTCTATACATATGATAAAGGGCTAATAACCAGAATCTACAAAAGAACTCAAGCAAATCACCAAGGAAAGCAAACAATCCCATTAAAAAGTAGGCAAAAGACATGAACAAAAGCTTTTCAAAAGAAGATAGACAAATGGCCATAAAACATATGAAAAAAATGCTCAGCATCACTAATCATTAGAGAAATGCAAATTAAAACTACAATGAGCTATCATCTTCCCATGTTAGAATGGCTTATATTAAAAAGTCCAAAAACAATATATGCTGGCAGAGATGCAGAGAGAAAGGAATGCTTATACATTGTTGGTGGAACTGCACATTAGTACAACCTCTGTGGAAAATAGTATGTATATTTCTCAAATAAAAGTAGAGCTACCATTTGATCTAGCAATTACACTACTGGGATCTACCCAAAGGAAAAGAAGTCTTTCTATCAAAAAGACACCTGCATTCAGTGTTTATTGCAACAAAATTCACAATTGCAGAGATATGGAATCAACCCGAGTGCCCATGAATTCATGAGTGAATTAATAAACTGTAGTATATGTATATCCTGAAGTACTACTCACCAATTAAAAAAGGATGAATTAATGCCTTTTGCAACAATTTGGATGGAACCAGAGACCATTATGCTAAGTGAAGTATCTCAAGAATGGAAAAACAAATACCATATGTACTTGCTATTAAATTGGAACTAACCGATGAGTACACATGTGCACAGGGGGAAGTAAAACTCAGTGGAAATCAAGCAGGGGGAGGAGAAAAAGGGGATGGGCAAAAGCCTACCTATTGTGTACAATGAACTCTATTTGGATTATGCGCACACTTACAGCCCTGACTCAAGCATTACAAAAGCAATCCATGTAACCAAAAACATTTGTATTCCCTTAATATTTTTTAAAAAAACAAAAGAATACGCAATATTTGTTTTTCTGTGCCCAGCTAATTTTTCTTAACATAATGACCTCCAGTTTGATCCATGTTGCTGCAGATGATAGGATTTCATTTTTATATCTGAATAACATTCCATATGTATACACACTACATTGTCTTTATTCATCTGTTGATAGACATTTAGGTTGATTCTATATCTTGGCTATTGTAAATGGTGCTGCAATAAACATGGGAATGCAGACATATTTATTGTATTAATTTCCTTTGTTTTGAATATATACCCAGCAATGGGATTGCTGGATGATGTGGAAGCTCTATTTTAGTTTTTTGAGGAAACTCCATGCTGACTCTCATAAGGGCTGTATTACTTTACATTTCCACTAATACTGTATTAGTATTCCCTTTTGTCCACATCCTCTCAAGCATTTATTATTTTCTGATGTTTTGATAATAGCAATTCTTACCAGGGTAAGATAATAGCTCATTTTGTATTTCTCTGATGATTAGGAATTTTGAATATTTTTCTTATATCTATTGGCTATTTGTATGTCTTCTATTGAGAAATGTCTACACGTCTTTTACCTATTTCAATTGAATTATTATTAATTTTTGCTATTCAGTTGAGTTTTTTATATGTTCTGATTATTAATCCCTTGCAGATGGATAGTTTGCAAATATTTTCTTCCATTTCATAGGTTGTCTTTTCACTTTGTTGATTGTTTTCTTTGGTATGTAGAAGCTTTTTAGCTTGATTTAATTAGCTTCATTTCTCACCCCTGACTTATTTGTATTTGTATTATTATTTTATTTAAGTGTACACAGAGATTATTTTTATTATTTTATATAACAAATATTTAATTGTATTTATCCCTGTTTAAAAAACAATTTTATTTGTTTTTCTTTATTTTCAATCTCATGCTTTCCTTCTGTAGTTATTTTCCTTCTGCCTGAAGCATATATTTCAGAATTTCCTTTATGAAATTGTGCTGGTAAATTATCTTGGCTTATGTTCATGAAAATATATTTTACTGTCTATTCTTGATGGTTGACAATTTTTTCCTTTCATGTTAATTGAAAATATTATTTCACTGTATTTCAGCTTTTATTATAGTTAATGAAGCCAGTTGTGAGTTTTTGCTTTTGGGATAGTAATCTATTTTTTTCCATTTGTTTTTAATATTTTTTCTTGGTTTATCTTATTTTTACTATGATGGATCTTTATGTGTATTTGTTTTTATTTCCCTGCTTAGGATTTGTTAGGTTTCCTAAATCTTTTATTAGTTTTGGAAAATTCTCAGCAAATACACTATCAAATAATTCTCTGCTCCATTCTCTATTATTCTTTTGGAATTCTGTTCAAATATGTGTTACATTTTCTTCTACTATGCACATGCTTTTTATCTTTTTCTCTTTTGGTCTCTCTGTTGCAGATTAGGTACTTTCTTCTTATCTGCTCCCAGGGCATCAATTCTCTCTTTACCTGTGTCTAAGCTGCTCTTAAACTTGTCCATTCATTTTGAACTTTTCTTTAGTATATTTTTTATTTCTAGAAGTTCTGTTTGGTTCTTTTCAAATGTAGTAGGCTACTTTTTCCATAAAAATATCTTCTTATTCCCTACTTAAACATAGTAAGCATACTTACTTTATGATCTGTTGTTGGCAATTTCAGTACTTCAATTGTGTGGGTATGATTTGATTGTCTGCTGTTTCTTCTTGATCTTGTTCATGGAGATTTCTCTTTTTGCGTAATCGATTATTTGCATGATTGGTTATTTGTGTGCTGCTTCTTGCTCTCAAGGTTTTATTGTGGTAATATTTTGAGGGCCAGTAAAAAAGTGATTTTGTCCAGAGAGGATATGCATGTTGCTACTACTGAGTTTCTGTGAATACTTCTGGTCTCGGACCACCCTATCCTTGTTTGTAACTTTAGGATTGCTGGATCTCCCACAAAATGTTGTAAAGGCTAGCCCACGGCTACAATTTCTTAGGAACACTTTTTCTTTTCCTTTTATACTTGCTCCAAACAGGGCCAGGACAACCTTCTCTGTAGTCACCTGCATATGGGTGAGGGAAGAATTTACAAGTAGTGCCATTATCCTCAATTTATAGTTCTTTTTTGCCCCAGGTTAACATGAGAAGGGCCTATTAGATTCTACATTTGGGATAGTGCCTAGGCATTGACCTTGACCTTGACTTTTTTTTATTTCGGCATATTATGGGGGTACAGATTTTAAGGTTTCAATAAATGCCCTTCCCCCTGCTCCTCCCACAAGTCTGAGTTTCCAGCATGACCATCCCTCAGATGGTGCACATGTCACTCATTATGTATGTATATACCCGCCCCCCTTTCCCCTCCACCCTCCCCAATACCCTATTACTGTAATACCTATGTGTCCACTTAGGTGCTACTCAGACCTTGACTTTTGTACCGCACGATGGAGGTTGCAAAACCAAAGCAGGAGTTTTCCAGGGTAGGCCAGTGTCCTCAAGTCAAAGTAGATTAAGTTTCTTGTACTTGGTTTTCTAGATTTCAGCTTTTCTTAGATTTTGTTTTAGCTATCATTTTTCTACAAACTTGTCAGTTTTTAAATTCTGATAAGGAGGTATTTTAAATATTTTATCCAGCATTTTTAGTTGCTTTCATCTGAAGGTTTAGTTCTAATAAGTTCTAATAAGGTTTAGTTCTAACACTTTATTGGAAATGGAAATCATTATCTTCTTTTTAAAAAATAGAATGTAAATCCAGTTCTTTCTTATTTAAAGGTATACTATTTTTCTAATTTTATGCCCACTGTAAAAACTAACAAACAAAAAGCAAAACACATTTTTTTAAAAAAAGGAAAAATTGCCCTTGATACCAATCAGAATGTAGGACTATTAATATCTTTTGGTACTTCCAAACCAGGATTCAAAAAAAAAAAAAAAAACCAAACCAAAACAACAACAACAAAAAACTTAGACCCTAACACCTGAACGCATTATGGCAAATTCTTATAATTTTAAGTTGCCTCCAAATCCATTTTGAATGCAAGTTTACCTTTCTATTACAAGACACAGGGCTCAATCACCCTTGTCACAGTTTCCAGTTTTACAGCACAGCCAAATGGTTCAAGTCAGTGGTCAGAGATAAGAACTTAGAGGCCTAGCACACTGGGTTCTCCATTTTCCCTCTGCTTCCTTCAAACAGACCATTCAGGCATGCATTTATTCATTCATTCATTTATTATCTATCGTGAGCTTAAAGTGATCCACACCCTATTCCCTTATTATACTGCTAGTTGCCATGTGTGCCAACACTCCCTCTTCCTCTTTCTTTCTCTCTCTCTCTCTTTGCCTGACTCTTCATTTCTGCCTTGTATGACTGGGGATGGAGAACTGCCCTCCTGATCCTTTGTGTCCTCCTTGCCCAGGATCTGGAAATAAAAATCTTTGAGCTTTATTCCTATTGTGGTAGTATATTGTATTTGCACTTTCCATCTAAATAACTATGGGCTGCCTCAGGCCAAGTCCCCCTCCCCCCATGCCAGGGAGGACTCAAGATCCACTTTCAGCACTGGAGCTAAGGTCAGACAGGTATAAACTGGAAGTGGGTCAGGTAAAAGAGCCAAAAAGCACCTACCAGTACACACAAGTTTCCTTCGTGGGGGAACCCTGGTCGCAGGTCAGACAGCTGCGGATTAGGTCATCTGCCAGGTGAAAGAAGTATCCCACGCAAGCAACACTGTGAACACCCATGTCCAGCTCCCCTTCGTTTCCCGTTAGGGCAGTGTTGCTAGCTGCCCTGGTCTGGAACCCAAATTTAGCTAGGGGCTCTCAAAAGAGGCACCCAGTGAAAGGAATAAATAAATTTCTCTCCCAGATATGTCACATCCAGGCAGTAGCTGAACCCATTACGAAGAGTGTCTGAGAGTATTATTTGAGGAAATAGCCACTCAAATACTTTTATGTAGGGCTCTCAGCCCTGATTGAGACAGGCTGATTGTTCTCCCACTAAAACATAAATGGTCCTTTACTCATGGGGTGAGAAAATACTTACCAAAACTTTATTTTTTATAGTTAGACCACAAGTTATTTGCCTGCTTTTTGTGTATTTATGTTGAATCCAATTCCCGTATTCTTATCTTAGTTTTAATGCTTTGTTCTGAAACTTTAAGTTTGGCAATCCATCTGGCTTTCTTTTTAGATGATTTCCTCTTTGGTTCTGCAGTTTGAACACATTCCGGAATCTTGAGTCTCATCTTACTTTCAACATCCTCGGTCCCTTCTTATAACTCTGGTGGATGAGGCCCTGCACACTCAGCCTGAAGCAGAGAATATGGGCTGTCAAAGAAATACTGTGTTAGGGAATATTATGTCAGATTGTGTCTGTCCCCCAAATTTATAGGTTGCAGTCTTAACCCCCCTGGAGATCAGAATGTGACCTTATTTGGATATTGAGTTTTTTACAATGTAATTAGTTAAGATGATGTCACAATGGAGCAGGGTGGGCCCCTCATTCAATATGACTGTCCCTGTTAAAAGGGGACATTTGTCCACAGAGACACACAGGGAGAATGACATGTCTACATAAAGCCAGAGTTTGGGGGGATGTGCCTACAAGCCACACCGAAGATTCCATCCAGAAGCCACCAGAAGCTAGAGAGAGGCTGGAACAGATTCTCCCTCACAGTCCTCAGAAAGAAACAACCCTGCTGACACCTTGATCCTGGACTCTGGCCCCCAGAACTGTGGGGCAATAAATTCTTGTTGCTGAAGCCATCCGGTTTTCATATTTCATCACAGCAGCTCTAGAAAATGAATATAGGGAGATTGTGTGATTTAGATTAAAGTGATGGGTGACTAAAAATAGGGAGAACCCTTTCAATTTAGACCAGTATAAATTACCGGTAGGTATATTCAGAGGTTCAGTACCTGTAAGTATCATTGACCTTATAATTGCTCTCAAATGTGGCTTTCTTGTTATTTACCTCTGCCATTGATTACTCTGCCTCAATTTTTCTGTCTCAGATACTTCTATATGCCCATTCCCACCCCACCAGGAGCCATCCTGTGGTTCCCCAACAAGGTTTCATTCCTGCAGGTGCTCTCCTAGTTGCCCCCCGTCAGAACCTAGAGACCACCAGAGGTTTCACGAGTATCCACGGATAGAGTCAATTTTCCAATCTGGCGCATCAAAGGTTACATGGACTGGGAGGGACAAATCCAAAACTACTTTGTTCTCCATGTCCTACCTTCCCTCCCAGGCACAAAGTGAAAGAATAATTTTTTATCGTGTATTTTCCAGTGCCAAAACATTTCCTACGCTAACGAGCTCAGCTAGAAAACTTTGAGGCGGCTACCTGGGAGAGGTGGCATACCTATTCAGTGACTGGGAGTGGTGCCAACGGGATAAATGAGACATATTTTTTCCCCCCACAAGAAGGAAGCCAGAGATAGAAGCTACCAGTTCAAGTCAAGCCAAGGCTGAAAATCAGTGTCATTTGTCACCATATGAAGTTGTTCGGGGTGTCAGTGCTATAAACGAACACACCAATCCTCATGGGCTGTTTCCCAGCTGTCTCATTTCAGAGAGGATTTATACTTCAGAGTCTTGCTGTAGATTACTTCTGAGATAGATGAAAGGGAACAATTTATAATTGTTTAACATGTGTGCACAGGTCAACATATCCCACCTCCAAATTATCTGCCTCCTTAGGAATCACAGTTCTCTGAGATTTATAGGAGGCATTGAGTTTCAATCACAGGATTAAATTTAGTGACCTTCAAGGGAAACAGGGAGCAAATTGCAGCTTCTTCAGCTTGTACATACCAGGAGTTGGCCATTCATCCTGCCACCAGGTAAATGAACGTTGTAGTGACTTCCTGCCAGCAAGAGGAGAGAATGAAAAAAATTCTGGGCAGTGGAAATAAGTTTGGACATACTTATGATCTATGACTAAGTCATCCAAGGATGCTAAAGTCAAACTCTTGGACTAATTCTAACTTAGAAAAAAACAGCAGATCCTGGATACTTCTGAAGCTGTAGAAATTGTGTGTAGATAAATAAATAAAATTAAAGGTTAATTTCTTCAAAACCATTTACATACAACCTCCCAGCAGATAGGATTTGACTCATTATTGAAAAGTGATGTTAAAACTGATGATAAAGTCACTTTTCCCTTGCAGATGATTTTTTTCAAGCACAACCATAATGCATTATAGAGCTATCCTGTACCTTCTATTATTTAATAAATGCAACATCAGACCTGTCACAGTGCGATATCCCTTCTGTGGAGGGTATTTAAACTCTTCTTCTCTCTCATTCTTTTTCAATGTCTCTGAGCCACATTGACAATAGGTACTTAATCCCTAGTCAAGCCTCTGTCTGGAGCTTTCTGGAAACAAGGAATGACTTTTGAAAGACAGAGAATAAACAGACTGGATGGTTTTTATCTACAGAGAAGCACCTGACACCCCAGTGTGACCAGCAAAGCTTGAAGTCTCTAAGGCTCTTAGCTTCCAGATGTCACAGCCCTGAATGGACATTTATAACTCATTTCTGAGACCAAGCACCTTCCAGTACTGGGCACCATATTGGTCCAATAACTGGGTCACCTGCTGGCCATTGGACACCTGCTTTGCCAGATGATCTGTTTTTCCATCATCGGCTTCCCCGTGGTCCTGTGTGGTCTGGTGTCTTGTGTCTTGTGCAGATGACCAACTAGGATGCTCATGCTGCCCTCCTTGTGCTCCACGAGAGTCAGGGCTATTTTAGAGCTTAGAAAGGAAAAGCAAAGAGCAAATCCCAGCAGAAGAAATTATTTGTGTGATCTACAGACCAAGTAGATCAATGCAGTTCTTATTTGTCTTTAGTGTCTCTAAAAAGACCAGAATCAGAGTGCTTTAAAGTTGCAGGTGGAATTATTTCTTTGTCAATTTTAGGCTTTTAACTTTGTAATGTATGCCAGAGGCTTTGTTGGCTGCACCCACGCTGACTTTGTTGTCTAGCCGTCATGTGCCATCTGACAGCTGAGACAGCCTGGGTCAATAAAGGTTTTCTGACATTACCGAAACTAGCTTCTCAATAAGGTGGGATGTCGAGTATATTATTCTTCTCTCCGAACCTATTCTGCTGGAACATGGTTTATAGATTTGGCTCCGATGGGAAGGGTTTAAACTTTTATTCATCCCTGTGTGTGGAGGCATGCTCGTCCCTGAAAGGACTGTCTTTTATCCTGCGGCCTTGCAGGCAGCCACAGAAGTCTCAGGTCATGGGTTTAGCTGCTGCCAAAACACACGTCTTAAATCTGAACTCCACCTGGAAAGAGAAAGCATCTCTTTCTGGCTACACAGATGCCACCAGCCAAAATTTTAAAAGGAGACAGAATGTCGTCTTTCATCTCTTTCTTATCCTCACCCTTCACCTCCAGGTCTGGGACTCTTTAATTAATGGATCCCCAAATTAGAATATGAAGTTGCTTCCTTTGCTACACTTCACATGACCCAGCAGGTGCTTTTCTGTTTGGACAGGGTGGCACCATGCAATAGCGACACATCTTTTATCGGGAGCTCTGGCCTGATGTGCATGCTTGCTCACTCTTGTGCCCATCTGTCTGGGTGGCAGGAGGCCAGTGGAGAAGGGGTCAGGCAATTTCGGGGATGCCCATTTGCCAGTGGAAGAGCCGGTTCAGGGGCACAGCCTGCAGAGCACAGTATGTGCTGGTGCTTCTGCCAAGAGAACCTTCTGTTTGGCAGGAGCGTCTGAACAGGGCAGCATGTTGCTGTACAACGGGCAACATCTGCAGATGGGAAGCTGGTGGGTGATGTACCCTCTTTGATTGATTCTGCTGTATGCCGCCACCCAACTCCTAAAAGTGAAGAGCTCGCAAAAGCGAGCCAGTTTTAACATCACTTAGTCATTATGGAAATAGGTATTGAATGCTTGCTTCTTATTGCAAGTCATGGTACTATGTGCTTTGGGAGGTTGTGGATTAATTTGACATGGACCCTAGCTTTAAGAGGTGTATGGTAGCAAGACGAATAGGCATGCATGTGCCGTTTAGTAGAGAGGGAATGCCACAAGCCAAGAGACGCACACCAGAGCCACAGAGATATGCCATCAGAGCCCAGAGGAAGGAAGAGGATGCTCAGCTGGGGGTCCCCAGGAGTGTGGTGTGTGGCTGGCCCTTGAGGGTGGGAAGTATTTGCACCTGAGGTTAGGGTGGAAAGGCCCACACAAGGTGGAGGCAATTACATGTTCAGATAGGAGTGAGAGACGTGCAGTGCCCGAGTGGAGCTTGGGGTAAGCCGTGGGAGAAGTGAAGGAGCAGGTGGAAAAGACATGCTGAGGATGGATGATGGGAGACTGTGATGCCAGGATGAGGGTGTGGCCTTGGAGAGCTGGTGAAGACCAGGACAGTGTGCAGGGAGCTTGGTTGGGAGACCACAGCATCAACACTGGCCCTTGGTGCTGAGGGCCCAATGGGTCTCCATAATTTGACAACTAAGCAACCAGCACTTACTGAATGCCTTGTTACAGATCTCTATGTGTGCCAGGTAATAGCTGTCCTCCCACCTTGGAAGGGAGGACATCAAGTGACCTTTGTAACTTAGATGATAAGAACAAACTACAGGAATTCCCATGGAAATCTGGGAACCCAGGGAAGGGGAAACACAAAGCATAGGCCAAATGGCTGAAATGTCACCCGCAGAGCAGAGGACAGTGTGACCTTCAGAGCTGGGTGGCCAAGCTGTGTCCCAGCTGTGTGACTTTGGACAAGTTACATCACTTCTCTTGCCTTAGTTTACTCATTTGTAAAATGAGCCTAATAAGCTCCTACATCATAGGGTTGTTATGGGAATTAAATGAGTTACTATATTTGCAATGCATAGAAACATGCCTGACCCCCAGGATGTCATCAGCACAGGTGAGCTTTTGTGGTTGCGTGGCAGTGCTGTGTAACAAACAGGCCAGCATGGTGTCTGGACAAGCATTCATGTCTCTCTCATGAGTCTGTGGGCCAGGAGCGGCCCTGCTGGGTTTGGCTTGCTGGACTCTAGGCTGAGGGTCAGGTTTAACTCCGATCCATGTGTTTCCTCAGCCCGGGTCCTAGGAACATCTCCATCAGGGACTTGGTATGAATGGAGAGCAGAGTGCTGGGGTCCCAGCCAAACAGTGTGCCTCCCTGCAGTGGCATCCAGGTACCTCAGAGCTCCTCATGGTCTGTTGGCCAAGACCAGCTCAGCTGGCAAGCAAACGAATGTTCCCAGGGAGGAGGGGAGGCGAAGGTATATATTTGACAAATAATAACATAATATACCATATCTGTCATGGATGGTTTCCTGGAATAGGTAATGGAAATGGAAAAAAAGTTGGGCAGATATGTTAATTGGAGGTAAAATCACAAACACAAATATAAAGAGGTAGAACTGATCAATTTATGACTACGTG